ACACACTAAGGTAGAACTGATGAGAACTGTATCTGCATGTATTTCTTTATATGGCTCCTTAAAAGACCCTAATTGGATCAATCTTGGCTCGTGAAATGATGCGCGCTTGGCTTAAGCTAAACGGTACATAGTCTACTTGGCAAAATTTCCTTCTTTTCTATATTCAGACAAGTGGTCAACTCCCAATATCCGTTTAACAACGATCACATGAAGCTAGAAATAATCAAAATCATCTTTAGTCCATAAAAAAAAAGAAAGTAGTTTCAAGTTTTATGCTTTGAAACAGGGTATAATGGCTAGAAGATGGGTTATGCCAAGTGATAGCTCACATGTGGGTGGAGTCTCAGCCTAACGTCATCACAGATGCTGCTGCAGCTTCTTCTGACATGTTGACTTAAGCAACAAACCAACCTAGGCAATTTGATTTCGAGAAGAAACTCGTGGAGCTTTACAAGATGCAAACAGAAGTTCATTATTCGCCTTATGGGGATAGGTTCAGTAAAGTCAACGAGATGGTCTCTAATTCCAGCCTCCACGGGACCATGACGATTCAGAGTTTAGAATCAGTAGTAGACGACCTATACCTTATAAACACATATATACGACGCACGCACCAACAAGGTTCATGAAGGCATCACTAATTTCTCTCCCCTGTCACTTTTTTAACACTACTGCATCACTAATTTCATCTCCCCTGTCACTTTCTTCTATAAACAAGGTGACGCATGCTTCTTGCCGAGATTATCTCAAATTAGTCTCATGTAATATCACTCATTTATCCTGTTGAAAATTCGCCACAGTGCCCTACTCTTAGCCGCCTTAGAATATTCTTCTTCCTGTCAATGTGCCTTTAATAAGTCTTCTCTCATGTAGGCTACATATGTAAGTCGTTTATTTGTCATCAGTTCTTCTGGATTTGGTTTATTTATGTTACTCGTTCACATGATCGTTCCATATTATCTCCTTGTCCTCTCTGAGAGTAGCTTGGATTTTCGTGGTTTGGGTTTCTTGCTTTCATATTCTGGTCATCTGCACTTCTGACTTTGTTTGCTGATTTATCTTTGTAACTCAGTGGATCCGAGCTTGAGGTCTGTTTTTCTTTTGAACCTCAGACAAATAACTCATTGTACACTTTGATTATATGAAAATTTACATTGTTTCTGGGGCGTCCTTTGTTTGATCTTGCTTAAGAAACTGATTTGATTCTGTTAGGAAACCGATTTTCATGTTTATGCATCTATCTTCTCTGTTTTACTTCCTCTGTTCTGCCTGTTCTTTGCTCTTCCGGAGAGTATACGTGACAGAATCAGATTGATTGTGCGCATATGCGAGAATCATAATGTGTTTGAGATATACTCATACATACAAATATGATTGATAGGCATTTTACAGATTGTGCATTTTTGGTGATTTTAAGTTGTCTGATTGAAATTTTAGCTTCTGGGATCCATATACATTTTATTTTGCTAGGTGAATCCTAGCGTTGCAAAGCTTGATTCTTATCCATTTGTCTGTTGTTCTTGAAAAACCAAGAACTGTAGAGACAGTGTGTAACATAGAGCAAACTTAACCAAATACGATAAG